CTCAGGTTTCGCTCAACAACTTTCACTTAATCTAAAACACCAGAAATCAGAAACAACTCAGACCTATAACCCATGCATGCAACTGAATCTTAGTTTGCATGTACTACAGAACAAACGTTCAGATCAACGTCCAGAGTCGAGTGACTTACCGGTTACAGAACTAGGATCTGTTCGGTTCGGATTGAAGCTCACGGTGCCAGGAACGTTCCTACGGTTCTGAAACGTGATCGGAGAAGAAACGTGAGATTTTCCGTAGAGAGAAGTTGGAAGCTTTAGAGAGAAGATGGAGAAAATGGAGGTTTGGATTCAGAGGTAGAAGATGAATGGTGCAGGTGAGTGGAAGGGTTTTCGAAAATCTCTTTTGTTCCTTCCATTTCCAGACGAACGAGCGTCTCATTTTCGGACACCTGCACCCTCACTCTGATTTCAGAAACTTCCAACGACAAGTGGCATGCGTGCATGCAAAGTTTGGTGCGTTTTTAATGTTTCAGAGGAATGATGGGCGTGTCTCTCAAGGCACGGCAGAGTGGATAAAAGAAATTAAATTCTGGTTTGACATGTATTTCAGAGTTTAATTATCTAGGGTCTCACAAAAAACACTTCTTAATTCATTATTAAAAATATAATTAATTATTTAATGTAGTTTTTTATAGTAAAAGGATTAAAGATTATTGTTTCAATATGAGACAATTGGAAGTATTAGAAGAAGTCCTCAATATTCTAACCTCAATACTGTATAAATAATAACGTTAGAATTAATCGTCATTTTTTAGATATTATTCGTTCTTTTAGCCTAACTCATCTCACAATTTTATTCTTCAAAAAATTGAAAAAACATGTGTTTAAATTAGTTTTTACCTTTAACTCTTACACTACATCAGAGTACTAATTACATTAAAATTATCATTTATATACTTAACACAAACTTTCTCTTATTATTTATAAGAGAATATATAGTTCTCTTCTAAGACTTTCTTTTTGTCCATGTCTTCATGTCTTCCTATGTGGTAACTTTTGAGGCTAAAAGAACGTAAGACTAGAAGTTATATCTATCCAAAAATATGTTGAGTTGATGAAAATAATACATTTTGAAAAATCTTACATCACTTAGGATAAATAATAACGTGAGTATTAGTGACTACATAATGTACTCTAAGTTTATAGTTTTGGATGTCCAAAGTCAAAGACACTTTAAACTTCTATTTGATTTTTCTTATACTCTTGTAGTATAGTGTTGTGAGGTTTTAGTTAAATTATTGCTTTGGAGGATATGGGTGTACTTTGGGTCAAAGGGCATGGGAGAACTATCTATGTGTTGTAAAAATTTTCATACTGTTATTCCTCAATTGTCATTAGACAAAGGTTGTAGTTTTTCTCCGATTTTGGAGTTTTCACGTTATATTTTTGTATTGATCTTATTTCTTTATTGGTAGGGTGATTTTCGATGGTAAAGACGATGATGTCCTTCATAATGATGTGTGTTTTCCATCAAAGTGATATCAAGAGCTTATAGTTTGGTAGGATATTCTTGGTATGCTCTGTGGTTATAAATTCCACATAAGAAAATATGAATTCCATGAGGCTAGAGAATCATACTTAGTTGTGAAAGTTACAATGATATTCGCAAGTGCTGAGATAGAGAAATTTGATGAAAGGATCATTGTCGACTCTGTGCTAGTGCGTGAATTTTTGTAGTCAGGTTCAAGAAGGTCCAACAAGATGTAAGGATGGTGAGTTGCGTTTAATTCATAGTGGAGCTTGTGTTTTCTACAAAGGAGGTGGTAGTTGAGGAAGGATCATGGATCTCCAAAGGTTTTAAGTGCTCGTAGTGGATTAGGTAATGGTTCACACTATCCTTTGTCATGTTGTTGTGCATTTTTTTGGTGAGTAGATGCGATCTACAATGGCTGCTTTGGTGGCTGCAAGGTGTAGTGGTGCATAGTGACGCATACGATGAGGATGGAGGTCAATATGCTACAGGAGGTGGAAGAGCTACTCCTTGATTTCATATTGCTCAAGTGAGTGCGTGCAATCTTCAATGGCTACTCTAGTGATGATCGCGGTGGACAACGATGTCTAGTGAGGGTAACGATGAATGAAGCTTGATTTGCATGGGTGAAGCTCAAGATCTCCAGGTACAATGTTTTGCGTGACTGACATGATGGTGTTTTGCATCGCCGACAATTGTGTGCATGGTTATTGATGCTACAAAGGTGCACATAGGGTCTTTGTGATTGCTCTGGTGACTAGGTGGAGGTTTGGTTGCAGGGAATAATTTCGGATAAGTTGTAGGGAGGACTGTTGGCTATGTGTGTTTGCTGGATGTGTTGAAAGAAGAAGATGGCATGGTAGCTGTTGGTTGGTCAAATTTGAGAGTGGAGGATTATGACATATGACATCTCCTGGTTGATTAGATTTGAAAGTGGAAGATTGTGACATATGACAACTTCTGGTTGGGCAAGTTAGGAGCATTAAGATGAGTCTTTTCTAGCAATATACACAAACATTGGCTAATATTAATGTAATTATTATACATGGACGTTGGTTAGTATTAGGTATGTGCTATGTATGCACAAACATTGGCTGATACATGATGTGTAGTGATTATACAAGAACATTGGTTAACATTGGACGACATGTGGTAATTGTGCAAGGGCATTGACTAATATTAATTTAGGGTGTATGGTGATTATACACGAATATTTATTAGCTTTGATACAAGTGTGTAGTGAAAGGAAATTTTTGAGATAGTTTAATTTCGAGTGAATATACTCTTTATGATAGAGTATATTTACCGATATAGACAATGAAGATGTATTTATTTTAGTTATATGGAGATTGTTGAGTTGATGAAAATAATACATCTTAAACTCACATCACCAAGAACAAACAATTGTGTAGGTGTTGATGGCTATATAATGGACTTTAAGCTCATGGTTTTATGTGTTCCAAAGGCTTGAATTGAAGTTGCTTTATGGAATTGCGCTACAGAGTAGAAGTGGATTGAATGGACGGTAAAAAATGTTTGAAGAATGGATTGGAGTGTGTTCTTGAGCAAGGTTCAAGCAACTATCAAGGAAAAGATTTAGAAAGGGAGTCTAGAAGGAAGATTATCCTAGTCAACATAAAAACAAGAGAGAACTGTAAATTTGACAAAGTTATTTTCGTATAAATTCCAAGTTGATTTTTACATGGTCGAGCACTCTTATTTATAGGATTTATTTATAGGATTAGGAGCTTACCAAAGGCTAAGCAAAAATAAAGGGAGAAAAATTCAAAATTCAAAACACAAAGCCTTATACTAGACATGTTTATGGTGTAATTACTAGTCAGATGTAGGTTAAGGCTTTTCACATTGCCACATTTGCAAAATGAAAACTAGAGCTCTCCAAGCAAGTGTTCTAGGGTTATTTGAAGCTTAAGCTAGCCCAAATAAAACCCTAATCCGCTTGCCAAGCTTGGTCACTTAAGAAATGACTTATTTACATTTTTACAAAACAAAAAAAAAAACTAATAAAATACATTCAAGAAAAGTAAAGTTATTTGACATCTTTCTTTCTCTTTCATACTCTTATAGTAGAAATGTCAAGAGCATGTGAAAATTATTTGTGTGACAAAAATTTTCACATAATATTATATTTTTATATTGATCTTATATCTTTACTAGGAAAATAATTCTCAATAATAAAGTCGATAATATATTCTTCATAATATTTCTTTTATATTATTATTGGCCATTATTTACTACGGGTTTTCTCTTCCTAGCCATATTTTCTATACGAGGGTGATATAATAGCACTGTTCAAAAAATATAACTACTTGAAAATTTAATATATTAATATTTTAATAATATTTTTTATAATTAATTAATATATATTATTATATATAGTGTTAGAATAGGATGTACAATGAAATTTTATAGGATGTCAAAAGTATAACTTTTTTTTCTATATTTGCATCATCATTGTTTCTACCCACCTGCTTACTTTATTCTATGTTAATAGTCTTCTGGTCATTTCTATTAGCAGAATATTTTCATTCATACTCTTTATGAAACACTGATTTAAGTTGACACTGATTAAGATTAATAGTCCAAACACAGTTCCATTGATTTTAAGAAATAATATAAATATTAAATAAATATAATAACTTTATTATACCAAAACTTAAAATAAATATATTATTTACTCAAAATTTAAAATTGATTCCTTTTATATATTTTTTTTTTTCAAAATCATAGAATGAGTAAGTAACCAAAAAACCTTGGTGGGGGCCAGTAAATGAATGCCATTGGAAAATTAGACACGATGATACCAATGTTGTTAAAGCAAAACAAAGCATTGAGAAGAAAACAACCATGTTTCATAATCAAAACCTATCACACGCCATCATATTCTCCACCTCCAATAAAACCAGCCACAAAGCAGTGAGTGAGCAACGTCATAAATTCTCATTACACCGCTAAATTTTGGCTTTAGACATGTCGGGCTTAATTAACTTTTACTTTTAAGCGGTTATCCGCACCAAATAAACAAAACACAAACTTCCAACTACTCTTTTAATACACAGTTAATTTCAGTTTCATCTTCTTAATCTACATTAATCCTTAATGTACATTTTACTGTGTTGTTGTTAAAAAAACTTAATTGTGGTTAATAAGACACCAAAACTACATATAGAAAATAGCATTTAAATTCGTTCATTAAATAAGTAAAAAGTTGGAATACTTTTTACCACTTTGTACACATATTTGTAACAATAAACAAACAAACAGGAATATAAATTGAGAATTATGCTTTGAACCGTTCCTGCTGATTCTAACAATGGTGGACAATGGTCGGCCATGTCGATGTCTTTGTTTCTACATAACTATAATATTTGTTTGAGACAAAGACCAACAATTTGAGACATAATATATTTGTTTTTATGTGTACCACGTTTATATAAAGTCTACGATTTTTACATTCGGTTCGTACCAGAGATTAGACACTGATTAATTACTCTAGTGTGATAATCTCTCACGGGTTTAAGGCTCAGAAATGGCACCCTTTGTCAGCAATAACTATGCTTTGGTGTTTTTATCTGTTCTCTTTTCTCTGGCCATGCACGTAGCTCATGGAAATAATGATGCACCAGCTTTATTCATATTTGGAGACTCAACTTTCGATGTTGGAACCAACAATTTTCTGAGGTCCAAAGCAAGGGCCAACTTCCCCTACAACGGCATTGATTTTTATCATTCACGTCCCACAGGAAGGTTTAGCAATGGCTTCAACACTGCAGACCAAATTGGTAAAAACATTATTTCAAGAATTTGTTTTCACATAATTAGTTTTATGGAATATATTAGGTTCTTTTATTGAATGTTTTTCCTGCATTTTTTTGGTTTTGTGGAAACTAGCGAGGCTATTCGGTCATCAGAAGAGTCCACCACCTTTTTTGACTTCCCAGAAAAATCGAAACAGTTCCAAGAATAACATTCTGCAGGGTTTTAATTTCGCGTCAGGGGGATCAGGAATTCTTAGAGAAACAGGCTCCTTGGAATGGGTAATCACTAGTAACATATGTGAACAAAGATTTGAGTACAAATTTCTGTGTGTTTTTACTCATACTTCCTATATTTTACATGCTGATATCAGATATATTTTTTGCACGTTTCAGTTCATAACTCCCAAGAAAAACATTTCAACCATTCCTTATTAACATAATATTCTTAATTCATTAACTTTGGACTTCAGTAAAATAGATTCATAAACACTAGAGGAAGAGTTTTCTTTAATAAACATATTTTCTTAAATATTCAAGTAAGGTCTAAAAACATTTAAAAGATTGAATGTTATAAATATCTGTAATTGATGTTTGTAGGGAGAAGTGGTTTTCTTTGAAAGGCAGGTGGCACAATTTGCATTGGTTCGTGCAAGAATCAACGGGATACTGGGAGCCAAAGCTGATACGTTTATTTCAAAATCTTTGTTTCTAATCAGCGTCGGAAGCAACGACCTCTTCGATTTTGCACGTAACGAAAGTGGCTCCATTCGTTTGGGAGCAGAACAATATTTAGCTCTTACACAACTCACATACTACTCTCATTTAAAGGTAAAACTTTCGCACCGCCCAATTACTATATATGGAAGAAGACGTGGTTGGTTGATTAGTTTATGTATTGAGGTAAAAAATGCAGAAGCTTTATGAGTTGGGAGCTAGAAAATTTGGCATCATAAGCGTTGCACCCATAGGTTGCTGTCCCGCTATAACGTCTGGCAATGGAGGAAACTGTGTGAAAGCACTGAATGATTTTGCAGTTGCGTTCCATTCAGCAACTCAAGTTCTTCTCCGAAAGTTGAGTTCAGAATTGGAAGGCTTCCACTACTCACTTGCTAACTCTTTTCTAATGACCAATACCTTGTTAAGCAGTCCATCCTCCTTCGGTAAGCACCACCACAAACACAATTTAAGTAAACATTTTTATGATTCAAGTTTAGGCTTAATTAATAATTACATTCCTATATTTGGATTTTTAATTTGTTTTTATCGACATATTTTTTTATGAAGTATTTGAATGTTTGAAAATGTGTAGGGTTGAATGAAACGAAGTCAGCGTGTTGCGGAAGAGGGTATCTGAATGGAAAAGATGGATGCATAAAAGCTCACAACGCTAATCTTTGTGCAAATCGAGAAGAGTTTTTGTTTTGGGATTGGTTTCATCCTACTGAGAAAGTTTCTAAATTGGCTGCTGAGACGGTATTCGGAGGAGGCATCGACTTTGTTAGTCCAATCAATTTTAGCCAGTTAGCTTCTTCCTATTGATCACGTCTGAGTCATAACAATCCATTTACTACAATTTTATATGAAATAACGAAGCTGACATATCTCATAGCCACTTTTTGCTTTTCTTGTTCAGAAAAAATATCATATCATGCATGATATTTGCTCATCGGTACCTCAAAATTGTATCGTCTGTGAGCGTGTAATAAGGGTTGCAATTTATAATAGGCATCAAGTGATTTTATTGTTTGTGTGTAGGTTATAAGTTTTGCTGAATAGGAAATTACTCTAATCTTCTAAGAGAGAACAGAGGAAATGAGAGAAAAATGGACTAATTATTTCACTAATTTCGTCGATGAACTATAATATTTCTGGTTGACCGTTTTTACAGTCTGCAGATCACATCATATTATGAAAAGTACTTCTAAAATATTAAAATTAAAATTATAAAAACTATATTTTGCATTTCGATTTTTAGCAACTAAAATTGATTGATTTCACAACAAAAAAAACATGATCGTCCAGCTCCTAGATAAGTTCCTAAGCTTTTATTTCCTAATTCAATATAGAGATTTTAAAAAGTTAGAATATAGGTGTAATTGGAAAAAAAAATGATTCAGAGTAATTTATTTTAAAAAAACTGCGGGATTCAGTGCCACAAAAGCCATCATAGAATTCAAATTATTTTTACAGAATTTGCTAATATGCAACTTCAACTCCTTCCCGTGTGGTAAAAGTTATTATATATTTTAATTACAATAAAAAGAAATAATTATATACTTTTTAAAATTAAAAAACTTCAGAACTATTTTGACTCTACTATTTTTCTATTGAAAATTTTCTTTTTTAGCACTATTCCTCTTTTCTTAAACACTGTATTTTCACTTTATTTCTTAGATGTTAGCTTTTTTCCCTCATTTTCCTAATCTATTTTTTCTTCTCTCAACCATAGTGTTAATAAAACGAAAGCATAAACGAGGCACTTGGACGGTACAACGTAAATGAAAACATTATCCCCCCAAAACAAAACTGTTCTCTACAAGTAATCTCTGTGTTTCTAACACAAACTCTGAGGCCTATTCGTATGATGTAATCCCGTAATATAATTACAACAGATGACGACGCCCGTCTTAGAGTACACGAAGAATAAAACTAACGGTGACAAGATATAAACACTGAAACGGGGGAGCAATATCAAAAATAAAAACTAAAAATCTTGTTCATCTCCAATGTCATTATTCAAGCGGCTTTTCAAGATTAGTGTCGTCCTGATCTGTCTGTGAAGTATGGCCTTCTTCAGGACCTTCTTTAGAGCCTTCTTCAGGGCCTTCTGCGTTCTCCTCTTTGCCATTGACGGTTTCAGATTCTTTGGCATCAGGAGTTTCTCCATTTTCCATTTTTGGCAGTTCGCCATTCTCAGCTACGCTCTTGGATTCTCCACTGTTCACTGCTTTTGGGAGTTCTCGTGCAGAGGAGGCCTCTAAAAGGCGGCTGACTCCATTATAAACATTCTTGGCATCCATAACAAGAGTTGCTCCACCAGGATAGCAACGCCCAAAACAAGTTGCGCAATGGGGATAAGCAACCTAAAATTGAATTTGAAGGTAATATAGATTATAGAAAGCATCTTAAGATTGAACAACAGGTGAAGTGAAGTGGTTCAGGAGTTTGGATTAGGTTATAGGTCCTAATCTTGATGACATCCTCGCATGGAACCTAAGTAATCAATATGTAGAGTAATTCTATTGACGACTGTAGATAATCTCAAAATAGAATCAGTTACGAAGCTGCATTGTGTAAGACAAATAAAATACCTCAGTAAATGACCGGCAGAGTGAGAGGAAAAGCCCCGACTCGTTAGCCCGTAGCACTCGCGTTGTATTGTACAGCAACAATGAATCAGAAACTGCCCGTAATCCCTTAATCAATTCTTGGGCAAGGACATGTTTTAGACTTATTGGGGCACATGGACGTAGCTCATTCATTGCTGCAGATACACCTGCAGCACCCAAATAGTAGACATTAAGATGGATAAAGGGTATCAGAAATTTAGGTGTCTTTAATTATAGTCATTAGCAAATTGTTAGACATTGTTTAGTATCCTCAATTATGATAATTAGAAAATTTACATAACTACGGTAATTATAAAATTATTTTCACAGTAATAATTACCCACATTATATAATAACATAGTTGTTTATGTTACTGTTGACACACAAATTCAGTCATGTCTCTTGTTTCCTCCATTTATCAAAGGTTTATAAAAGCCGGTAGAATATGAAGCATACATCATAAAGCATTATGGAATCACATGATTAACAGCACCTTTCGAAGTTTCATGAAAGAAATTTCTTAAAACATGACCCATCAACCATGGACATTTCCATTTTGTACTTAATTTATGTTTCCAACAGTGTGAATGTATGTTAGCATGTGAGAGGTGGACGAATGTAAAATAGGCAAAGGATAATGGACAAGTAATGAAGATATTTAGAAGAAAACATTTACTAGACTCACCATTAATAAAAACAGCAAGAGGTGGATGCTCCATCAAATTAGAGGGCGGAGTGACATCCTCGTGATTTTCATCACCACCAGAACTTCCAGAAAAGCCAACTGCTGGCAAGGGAACCCATCGATGTGAATCCAAGACCAACTGTGAACAAATCCATCTCATAATCACTACATAAAAGATAGACAACTAGTTGGGAAAAAAATGAAAAAAGGGTCCCTAGATGTTGACTTGTTTGCATAAACCAATGATCAATGCATAAAAGCAATTTCAGTAACTGCCATGTAAAATATTTAAACTTCACAGCATTACCTGAAAATTCTCTACTGCAGTACTCATGTTTTTGGAGAATAAGTTCAGAACAGCTCTGTAAAGAAACCATCATATATATTAAAAAATGTTTTAATTTATGGCTTAATATAATAACAGATCATTAAAGGAGCATGTTTTACTCTTCAAAAAGTGATGGGAGCAAGCCTCGAAAATCTAGTCCAACCCAACCAAGTCCCATGGCACAGTACTGTTAAAGATACAGAAAAGAGAAGTTTTAGATGTAATCTCTTCTTGTTGTATTAGTCAAGCAGTACTAGCAGGCAGGACAAACTTAAGTGTCCTTCTCCTTTGACCTAATTTTCCACAGGAACGGGAGCGGCTAGAAATCTAATATGCCTCAAATTTATTTATGTAGTCTACAAAATATCATAATTCTTTCCAATTTCAAAATCAACAGAGTATGGTAGAAGAAGCCCACCATGCACTGATCCAAAATATTTGACAGTGATCCACCTTCAGATATCTTTGGAAGCATGACTTTCAAAGTTTGCAGGTGTGAGGTAATTTGGTGCATTGCCCAGCTAAAAAGAAGTCCACCATCATAATTTTCCTCGCTACCTGATGTGTCATCAGCAAATATTGCTCGATATTGGTTAACGACATCAAAAAGATGCATTCTGTGACAGTTGATCATCCCTTTCAAGTACTCGTATGGATTTGTCTGGTCTAGATCCTCAAGTATACCAGTAAGCCAGGCCTCTCGGCATCTCAAGAACTATAAATAAATAAATGCTTAGTCAAATGAAAGGTAAAAAGAAGACCAACGAGATGCAACCGAACTGAAAATTTCGAGGTGAGAGACGAGCAAGAAATGGTAAAGAAAGACTGCACTGAACAAATATCATTAAATCTTACCAGCAAACGCATTCCATATTCACTAAATACTCCTATTCGCCGTAGATATCCAATAATGCGAAGGCATTCAGGTAACTAGCAAAGGAAGATATAGTAATAATAAGAAACTACAAAATAAAACATTTTTATTGATAAATCAAGTGGGATTTCTTTGTGTATTAAATCATAATCACTGCGTAAACCTGAATATTTGAACGAAGTTTCTGTAGAAGCTGAGAAAGAAGTGATTGGGTAGTCAGCCTAACCTCTGCAGCCAGTGCTTGAATCACGGGTAACCTTTGCACCCAGGAAAAACATTTAGTAACAATCACAGAAATAGACACACACACAAATACACATAACAGGAAGAAAAATAATCTTCTTTAAAGTTAAATGACTTATAGACAGTATGGAAGAAGCATATAAAATTACTTTGGATGCATGGTTGAAAGTTTGGCAACAAATGCTTCCAAATCTAGGGCTTCATCATAATTCCCATTCCGTACACATCTGCAAAAATAAAGTAATTTACAAGGCTTCTAACAAAGGAAGGAAGTGCTGGTCATAATATGAAAGAACATCAGTACGTGATAATCCCAGGAGTGTAATAAAATGTCTATCTTTTTTAACATACGTGTCCATGAGTTGAGGAATTTCCAGCAAGTCAAGCAAAGTACTGTGATTAGCTAGCATTGTTTGGTTCATCTTCCTCTTCTCCAAAATCTGCTCAGCAGATTCTATGAATTCAGTACATCCAGATGTCAGCTTTGGGATCTCATTTATCTGTGACAGAGGAGATCAATACTCAATGCCAAATGTTTATGACTAAACACACAAGAAAAATTAGAAATTCGTTATGACAAGGAGAAGGAAATTGTATGATCACAATAGCTGGGCAATTAAACGACAAAGAACAAGATAAAACATTGAAGCAGCAGGAAAGCTGTCTAATCTTTCTACATGTCTGTCAAGGAATTATCAGACCTAATAAAAAGGTGAACGTTAAGAGGGATAAGGCGACATAGGGATTAGAGTCGGTTTCTGCCATAAACAAGTAGATAGCATGCTTCAGTTTACAAAGCCCAACAGCTTACTCGTCAAACTTATTTAAGTAATAAAATATTGGATTCAGCCTCAGCTTCTAAAAGAATTTTCCCGTCACTTTATATCCTGCTCACACAAGTTTTTTAACTGCACAAGATTGATGTCCCTACTGAAGATGGCACAGAATCACAGAGGTTATTTCCTTCCACTAAAGCTTCTACTATGTCTTTTTGGTCTACAACTCGGTCCACAATTATATTTTTAAATGAGAGAGCAAGAGATTGGTTGCTAAACTATAGTAATCAATGTTCAGCAGCATACAAAGTCATTGTA